ACCGAACCACCGAAAATCACATCTGAGCCCTCTAACTCATAAGTCAATATCCGGTTGACTTTTCCAATTTAAGCCTTCTTAAAAGAGACTAAGGGTCTCATTTCTTACCAAAACCACGCCAAACGCAAATCAACCAACTCGACCACATAAAACACGGATAACGAAGCATAAAGAAGCAGAAATGGGGAAAACAGAGTGGTAACTCATGAGACGACTGGTCGGGTCGTCACAAGTTACATTTGAGGACTTAGTGTTGTTAGATGCTCGTGACTTGTGACACCCCGGTTAGGGCTATGTTGGGTTGTACTTCCGCATTTTATTGATATTATCTGCTACTTCGTATTATTAATCATGGTTTAGGCTATTTTATTGTTGATTAACTGTTTAACGTCGAATTGAGAATAGTTGGTTGGCCTTGTCTTCACGAGAGGCGCCATCACGACCGGGTCCGGGTTAGGGTCGTGACAGAAAAGAAGATATATAATACAATTAAGCACAGATTAACGCACTGAGAAAATTAGACATTAACACAGATTAAAGCATTAAAAACAAACCAGAAAATTTGAAGAATCAAAAAATTTACTGATACTTTGAATTTTCTGGTTTGAATTACAAAGAGAAGAATCATACATTATCACAATTAAATATGTGATTGTAGAAGAAATTCAAACTAGTTAAATTCAAATAATCAAACAAATAATTGAGAGAGCTTACTTCGATTTGCAGATTGACGCCGCAAGATTGTGCTAAAGAAGAATATAGGTCAAGTCGCGTAAATTTAATAAACATAGTAGGGGTATTTTAGTCAATAAATTATTAGCATGCTAACTTCGCGGCTAAATATCGTTGACCTTTGATTTTGTGGCTAAATTTGATTGACCAAGCGTAAAACTGGCCATTTATAAATTTTTCGCAAAAAATTGCCAACTCCTGTTATGTGTTGTTTTAGTAAGTGTGTCCTAAATTTCAGTTCTTCAGTTTAATTTTTCAGGACACAAAGTCCTGAAATTAAGATTTTTAGTTCAATTTTTCAGGACAAAATAAGTATTAGTTAATCCCTAAATAGCAGCCCTAAAAATAGTTATTTGTGTACTTCCCCTTTATAATGACGGGAGATTTGCAAAAATGGGATCATTTTACACTGCTATTTAACTTTTTCTTCTCATTTAAGTATACTAGCATGAACTTTGATTTGAACTCGTACTCCTTGAACCTTGATTTGTTTTTCGTTCTTGAGCTTGAGCTTGATTGCTTGAACTTGAACTTGATTTGTTCTTCATTCTTGAGCTTGAACTTGATTTCTTGAACTTGATTGCTTGAAGCTTGAAGCTTGAAACTTGTAGAGAAATTTGCGGTGTTTGATTAAGTATATTTAATAAGAGTTGGTTAGGGGCATAACTTACTCGAAGTTATGCAGTAGAGAAGCATAACTTGTTCAAAATTGTGGTTTTATTTTTATTTTTTAGTGCACTTTGTCTAGGATAGAGGGGATATCAATTATCAATTAACAAATGACAAATTTACAATGGGAAGTTGATCGACAAATTTGTCTTCTTTGATTTTGATCGAATTAAGTATTTCTATGGCCATAACTCATGGTGTCAATATTAAAATGATCTTCATGAGTTCCTCTATACGTAAGAGAGGAACGTGTGAGATTTGTTGGTTATATTGTAACGGTGCCTACTTTGTTATATTCAAATGAAGCCCCTATTGCTTAATTTACTAGATTCAAAATACCTTAGCCGACAAATTAATTAATTAGGGTGAATGCTAGAAATTTTGTTTAGAGAGCTTCAAGGATTTCCCTTGGAGTTTTTGATAATGACATTTAAACTTTATAACTTAATTAATATTTTAATCAGTCTGGGAACTTCCTTCTACTTCTAAAATATTATTGATATTTTCATAATTTATAAGAGTAAAAAACGACTAGTTTTCAACAAATAGGAAAAAGAGATGAGGAAAAAAAACAAATAGAAAATAGAGAAGAACTTTGCTGTTTTTCATTTCCTTACTCAACATATTTAAATTGATTGAAAAGTGTTATTTTCTCTTTCCCTTCTCTTACTTGTCTTTGTTATTTAGAAGAACAACTTTTATGATCTTACCCTTTACCTTCTTTTTTTATATTTACTGAGTAACAACATAAAATACCTTTGGTTTCACTAATTAAAGAAGATCTTGCAGTGTAAAGAAAAATTTCAAAATCACGTGTTTATTTGTCATTCTTTTCGTGTATTTACTTTTTATATATTGATACCCCTTAGTCAAAATTCTACCTCTATGTATGACGACTGCAAAATAATTATCTATTTATTAATTTCTGTCAAATTTCTCAAACTCCATCCCCACAGGAAAAGCTTTCTACAACAAAACAATCAGTCATTTTCTATTCTTTTGTGAAAGCAACAAGTTGTATAAATCAGTATTTGGTGAATTTGCATGTGGGGAAACAAGGTGGTTGTGAAGATTATAGCTGTTTACCTCTTAATTTTTGACAATTTGGCACTTGTTAGCTGGTCACTTTAATTTACTTGTTTAATTTTTGACAACTTGGTCCTAAATTTCACCATAGTTTAAAGTTGACATGTGTAAACAATGAACTAGTATTTCAAGATTAGACTATCGTTTCGCCATAAATAATTGTAATTACTGAAGTTAAATATTTGAAATTATTAATTTGACTGTGTTTGCAAATACCAAAATTTCAATATTTTGATTTTCTTTTGAATTATTTATAGTGGTTTTCATCTCCGATGAAATGAGATCTCATGGTTATTTTCCCACTGCATTTCAATATTCAGAATATGAAAAAACCAGTTCGAGAGGTATTTCAAGTGAAATAGTAATTTTTACATATTTCAAGTGAAATGGTAATTTTTACATACTTTTTGACTTTTTTCAAGTGAAGTTCCTCACATCCAAATATGACTGAACTTCCACAAATTTTTTCACAATTCAAATACCTTTATTTAATATGCAACTAATTATTGTTCAATGATCTAACGACAATGCAAAACCTGCATTTTGCAAATTCAAACAAATTGAAAATTGCGCAAAAATTCCAAATTAACACAATGACATGCACAAAACAAGAATGGCACAAATAAGGGAATGAAAAAAAGAGAAAAATATAATAGAAAAATAAGAAGGCGGAAAGTTCCTATGAATTGCCCTATCATTAGATTTGCAGCCTAAGGATAGAGATTTGTTTTGTGCACATTTTCTTATTTTGGTTAATGCATCTAGAATTTAATTGGTAGCATGCAGAGCTTTTGGAGGCATCATTAATCTAATGATTAGAAGCAATCAGAAATTGTAGTACCATAATAGAGTTGACATTTAACTAAAAAAACATTTTTAAGAAGCAACCAAAAGATTTGGTAAGGTGATTTTGATATTTTGGTAGGGGTTTTATTCTTCAATTACAACTAAGAAAGGTAGCTTTTAGGTTTTTAGTTCAGCCAACAAATGGGGTCAGGTTCTAGAAGTACTAATTTCCTATCATTTTTATTTTCTAAATACGTTATTAACATACATCTTTGAAAACTAGTACAAAGTTATATCATATGTCAAAGAATGTTGTTATCAGCGTGAGGTAAGATATATATTTTTTTAATCTACTTTTTTCTCTTCCTTCTAAGGGATTTTTCAAAAATAGTTAAAGATTGCCAACAAAGTCTTAAATGAAAAGACAAAAATGGGAAATAAACAAAATAGAAAGATTAGAATAATATATTAGGAGCCTGCTCTTAGAAGCAAGAAAAACACTTGTCAAAATGGTAAAGATTAAAAATTGTATCTTAATGTTCATATGGTATATTTGTTTGAAAGTTTTTTTTTTCCATGCACGTAAAACACCTGTGAGGGCTCTCTTCAAGTCTTCGTATTTGCCATCTTTTTCCCATTTGGTCATTAATAAAGATCCAAATCCATTTTCGGAATTCAAGGTAATTCCTAAAATCAAATGATTAATGTGCCAAGCATGAGAAGAGTTAAATTTTAATTGCTCCAATTGCCAGAAGAACTTCATGTAACCTATGCCTCTGTTTGAAAAGCCTCGGTTAACTTACGCAAAAATGTAAATTTACCATGCTGTTTGAATGAAAAAGGACAGTCCGGTGCACAAAACATCTCACGTTCATGCATGATATGGGGAAGGGTCGCACTCCAAGAAGTGTGATGTAGGCAATCCACCATGATGCAAGCACCAGTGACTAATTCTACGGCTCGAACCCGTAACATATAGGTCGTACTGAAACAACTTTACTGTTGCTCTAAGGCTCCCCTTCGCTGTCTGAACGAATGAACATAAAATATACAATAACATAAAATAGCCATAATGCATGGAGAGATTGCAAGAATAACCAAACCCAAGAATCGTAAGTATATCTTAATTTCAAGTTTCGAAATGCATGCGTTCGCTTATTAATTACTCCTACATGTACATTTTATGTCAAACTCGTACAATTTCCCTTTTAGGAATATCAAATGTTTAAGTTCGCTTTATATTAATTTTTCGAAAAGCGGAAAACGAGAGAAATATTATTATAGAAAAAAGAAGGGGCAGTTGAGAGGACAAAATCTGCCTTTGGAAGATATCCAGGAGATTTAGAAAATAAAATAATTCAAGTAAGCACCTTGACAGCAAAGTATGAAGAAATTTTGGAACGTAAAGCAAAAACTGTAGCCTTCCAAATGTATTTACAAGAAAAAAGAAAGAAAAAAAAAACCCCATAACAAATTATTCTTAATTATGCCATCAAAGTCAAATAGGTGGACAAGTCAGTTCCTGTTGTTAACTAATACAGAGACTAAAAACTCTTTTTAAGTCTTAGAATCTCTGAAATGTTTCCAAGTACATTTGATTTGGTGTATATTTTAATAAAAATTTATTTATTACACGTTTACATGGGAATAATTCAAGAAAATGGTAGGCAATAAGGCATCAGTCTATATCAAAATTCTCTCTATATATAAATAAGTAGTAGGTGATTGATAAATTAGTTATAAGCCTCAAGAACTCTTCCACAAGAAAATTAAGGTCTCATTCCTTCAGTTGTTGATCTTCTGTACTTTTTGTTGTTTGTTTTTTTTCAAAGTATTTGGTGCAGAAATGGTTTTAACTTGGAAATCAATGATTCCATGTTGTTACAAAGTAGATGATGAGTTAGTAAGATCAAAGAAAAATGTCAAAAAACAAAGTTCATTTCAGAGATTGACTCTATTAGATTTTGATGATCCAAGTTCACCATTATCTGCTGATGGACTTTCCAATTCATTCATTGGATCAAACCTTATCAACTTCACATTTACTGAACTTAGAGAAGTTACACACCATTTTTCATCTGCTAATTTTCTTGGTGAAGGAGGATTTGGACCGGTTTACAAAGGATTCGTCGACGATAAGCTTAGGCCAGGGCTAAAACCTCAGGTTGTTGCTGTTAAGGTGTTGGATACAGATGGTTTGCAAGGCCACAAGGAATGGCTGGTGAGTTATTTTCCATTATTTTTTGTGTGACGATTCATATAGCAGACCCCAACTTGCATTGGGTTGAGGTATAATTGTTGTATGCTAAGTGAAGGGGAGCCTTGGCATAACTAGTTGCTACTATGTGACCAGGAGGTCACGGGTTCGAGACGGGAAACAGCCTCTTGCAAAAATGCAAGGTAAGGCTGCGTACAATAAACCTTTATGGTCCAGCCCTTCTCCGGACCCCGCACATAATGAGAGCTTAGTGCAGCGAGTTGCCCTTTATTGTTGTATGCTAATAAAGTTGAAATGTTAAAGATGTTGAAAGTGATTTTTATTTATTTTTTATTTATGTAGACAGAGATAATATTCCTGGGGCAACTAAGGCATCCACATCTGGTAAAATTGATTGGATACTGCTGGGAAGATAATAATAGACTCCTAGTCTATGAATTCTTGCCAAGGGGAAGCTTGGAAAATCAACTCTTTGGTAGTAAGTTTCCAAATTTTTTCTCTCAATATGAATTCAGAATAGGGATGTTGTAACAGCCCAGCCCAGCTCGCTAGTGATATTGTTCGTTTGACTTTAAAATGCGTCACTAGGGTCTAAGGCATGTCTATTTTTATACCCAACATCTCTTCCGTGTTTTGTCGATGTGAGATTCGCCAGGGTGTCACATACACCCCCTTAGGGACTCAGCGTCCTTGTCGAGGTTTGCCCCACCACCGTTCAAGGTTGCATGCGGAGTGGCTCTGATACCATATGTAACATAGCAGCCCACTAGTGATATTATCCGCTTTTGGCTTAAACCCGCACGGTTTTAAAACGTGTCACTAGGGTCTAAGGCCTATCTATTTATATACCCAACATTTCTCCCGTGTTTTGTCGATATGGGATTCGCCTAGGGTGTCACAGATGTACTGAAATTAGACATAAATGTTAGAAATAGCTTACTATAATATGGTTTTTAGAACTCAGAGATCCTGAAACCAAGGTATGCGTTGATTTATAGTTCTCAAATGTTTGTATTTATGGCAATTATGCAGAGTTTTCGATTACATTATCGTGGTCAACAAGGATGAAGATAGCACTAGGAGCAGCAAAAGGTCTCGCGTTCCTCCATGAAGGCGAAAAACCAGTCATATACAGAGACTTTAAGGCATCAAACATCTTAATAAATTCAGTAAGCTACTCCTCCTTCCATCTGTCTTCCTTTCTGTTCATCATTTTCGATCAAATATTGTTTGTAAAAAAATGAAAAGCAAACAAAGACAGAGAGATAACGACTCTTGAACATGATGATCTCTCTTGTAGGATTACACTGCTAAACTTTCTGATTTCGGACTAGCAAAGGATGGACCAGCAGGGGACGATACGCATGTATCCACACGAATAATGGGTACACACGGCTATGCAGCCCCTGAATATATCATGACAGGTAGACTTAACTCTTTTTCTTGGAAGCTAAGGCATTCTAGAATTGGACAAAAAAATGTTTACTTGGACTTTTCTAGTCCAACTTGTGATTAGCTAATACATTGTCAATGCCATGATTTCCAGGTCATTTGACAACAATGAGTGATGTATATAGTTTTGGAGTAGTTCTGTTGGAAATGCTGACTGGTAAAAGATCATTGGATAAAAAAAGACGAGAAGGAGAAACGAATTTGGTTGAATGGTTAAGGCCTTATTTAAAAGATCCAAAGAAAATTGCTCGTGTGATGGACCGAAGACTTGAAGGTGAATACCCGATTAAAGGGGCACAAACTGCAGCATTAGTAGCATACAAATGCTTAAGTCATTATCCTAAGCCTAGGCCTACAATGGATGATGTTGTCAAGATTCTTGAGACACTTCAGGAGGAAAGCAATAACACTGACACTGCAATAAGTGATCCAATGATAACGATGACATCGAACAGTGATTTCAGCAGTGAGAGTGAGAAAAATGGCGAAAAAGAGGATGCTGCAACACCGGAACGAAATGGGAGAAGCAGAAAGGAGAAGTACTTGAATGGGAAAAATCAAGGTTATGGATGGAGACAGAGAATCAATAGACAGAGAATGGTGGCGTCTTACTCGGATACAGCTCTTTATAGAAGACATTGAGATATGGCAAATATAGCCACCTCAAGCATTTGCAGTGAAGAATCTAAGTAATAAAACTTCACTAGCTATAGAACTTTTGCACTGCAGCAAAAAATGATAATAATTAGGAAAATACTATTTGTGTATAAAGAAGGGCAACCCAGTGCACAAAGCATCTCGGGGTCACACAGGGCCCAGGAAGGATTCTTTTGAGAAATACATAGTAATAGTAAATATTAATGCAGTAAGCTGTAGTATATAGAAGGTGTAAGCAGCATACTGCTTCTAGTTTACTGCTAAAAACCTGATTTCAGGTATAGGATTGTAACTTTTCTACTTTTTTTGTGAACTCTTCAGTTGTAAGATATGGAATGGCAAAAGTAAACAAGACTAAGCCAATTCTATTGTAACATTTGCTTTTGATATGCTACAATATTTGGATAATGATGGTGTTCGAGTCTGTGTGAGTACACTTCAATTATTTCATTAAATACCTGCTACTTTTCACCAATACACGCACGAAGAAAATAGATGCATTTCATACATGGAATTAATTGTGGTGGGAAGTAACAGGCTAGCAGGTACGTGTAATAATTGAGGTGCGTGCGAGTTGGCTAAAACCTTGCTGTTATTAAAAAAATATTGTGGGTATTTAATAAATGGAGAAGGCTTTCTTTGGTTAAATGGAGTTGGTCAGAATTTCAGCACCTAAAAGAAATGAAGCAACAACGTGATTGCATCAATCTGAAAAATAGAACATTCAGCTTCAAATAATTTATAGTAGCATAGATAATATAAAGTGTTGTTAGAAACTTCCATTTGTACACTAATAAGATATAAATTCTACCTGCTAAAACAGAGTTAGTTAGGAAACTTGACCTTTTCTCTTGATTGAAAGGAACGCTACTCCTTCCTCACAGTTCCCATCTACCCCTCTTCCCCTCACTCTCGAGTCCGAAACTGAAATAATGGATTTTTGGACTCAAAATATGTTTATACAGTTAAAAAAAAAATTACATTTTTAATTAAAACGCAATATTATACTGCGTTTTAGTTTAAAGAAAAGTTAGTCGTTAAAGTAAGACGCATTATAATACTACGTTTTACTAAAAAGTTAATCTTTTTTGTAGGAAAACACAGTATAGTACTACGTTTTAGGAAAACGTAGTATTATACTGCATTTTCCTATAATAAAATANTTCGGGCTCAAAATTTTAAATTTCCGACATTTCAAAAAACATAAATCGAGGTATTCCGATTTAGATTATGTCAAAACTCGTAGAGCATATGCATATTTGTTTTCTTGAATGTGTTTCCACGTTGATTTGTATTATGTTTGCGATTAAATTTGTATGTTATTTTTATCCGGATTAAATTATTAGTGTTTTAAAAAAATAGTTAAAAGTTGAGAAATAATTTTTATTGTTAATAAAATTGTTCATAAATATCTTTTACTGTTTTATATGTAATTTCGTGAATGTTATGTTCATATGTTTGTGGTTTTTATTTAGTTTAAATTATTTATTTGCTTAAAGAATAGTGGTCTTTTAGCATAGTAAAATATAGAGTCTTTTAGCATAGTAAAATATAGAGTCTTTTAGCGTAGTAAAATATAGAGTCTTTTAGCATAGAGTCTCTGTAGTTTAAGTATCTACTAACTACAAACTCTATCCAATTACACTTTACAA